GGAAGGTCTGGCCAACTTGGTATGGAGCTGACACAGAATTCATCCTTCCTCGTTATCATTTATATACAGGTATACATCATATTTCATTATGTGACCTTGGGAAAAATCATTTAACTGCCCTGGGCTTCAGTTTTGTCTTTTGCAAAATGAAGAGATTCAATTATTTGATCTCTATTGTTCATTCTATTCTTAATGTTCTATGTCTTTATGTTTCTCTGATCTACACCAACATACATGAGATGGGAAAAAATACTGAAAATGGGGCTCCTCCAAAACACAGGGTGTGGGAAGAGATAACCACTTTATGAACCTATCATCACATGCCTGAGCAGTTCAGCTCTGCCATTTACCAAACCTTGTTGAATCTTTAATTCCTCCTCTGTAAAAGAAAGGGATGAAATAGGAAAATTACAACATTCCTTCCAACTCTATATTTTTCAGATCTCTCTTCCCTCCTATCCTCTTTTCTCCCTCCAACATAGCGTTATCTGTACCCTGATTCCATGTCTCAGTTTTCCCTCTTGAACTGACCCTGACTTAGAAGTAGAGGGAGCTACTGAGGGCAGGAGGGTCATCTCTGCAGAAGGGGCCAAAAAGGGGAGTGCTATCCCTAATCAGCTTATTTAAGGAGACAACAAGGTTAGGAGAGGGGCTGGAGTAGCATTTGGACATCCTGATCCAAATAGAGTCTCTCTAAACCATACCCTTCTGCCTCTGGGGCATAAATTGAGAACTTTTTCTTGTCTGAGTTTCTGTCCATCCTTGTGGTACTGAAATTTCGCCAGAGTTTGGCTATCTGGCTTCTGCAGTTAATAAATAGGGTTCCTAAACAAGCAGCTCAGAGTACTGGAACTTTGCCTCTTTCCTCTCTCCTTTCTCTTCCTTCTTCACTCCTTCCTCTTCTTTCTCCCCACCTCATCCTCACCCTTTTCCCTCTAACTCCTTTTCTCTCTCTTCTCTCTGTATGACACCTAGACTCTGTGACTCTGATGCAACCCTGAAATTAGCTGACCCATATATTTTTGTGTCCAATACACCTCAGGCATAACGGTTTCTTGAGGTCTAAATAGTGTAATGCAGTTAGTTGATGATTCAGGGAAGGGGAAGGGAAGAGAATTGAAGAGATGGGGCTAAAGATTCAAGATTTAGGCCAAATGAGACTTGCTTAGACTTTTGGAGAGTTTCAGAAGACACCACCGGGAGGGAGGGAAAGCAGTGTGCCCCTTATTTGTATTCTGTTGGGTTTCCTCACAGTCTTTGCTCTAGCCTATCTCTTTCTGCTGATCTGTCTATCCATTTTCCCCTCCCTTCCTCCTCCTCTTCCTCTTCCTCTCTATGTGCCTGTTTTTGTGATAACATTACTCCACCCATCGCTTTTTTTAAACTTCCCTATTTCTGTTGATGGCACTACCATTCTTCTAGTCATCCAGGCTCAAAATTTTGAAATCATGACCAATATTTCCTTTTCCTTCCTCCTCTCCCCTATATTCAATAAGTTGCAAAATCTTATTGATTGTACCTAAACAACATCTATCACACTCTCATCCCCTTCTTTCCACTTCTACAACCTCATGGCTTCTTTCTTGGACTATTGCAATAGCTTCTGAATTGGTCCCTAGATTTCCAGTGTCTTCTCTCACTAATCCATCCTTCACAAATTGATATTCCTAAAACACAGACTGCCTGGCCATGCCTCACTCCTACTAAAATATTTTCAATTACTTCCTATTCCCCTTAGCATAACATATACAATTCTCATCTTGGTCTATAAAACTAGAGCTCTACAATAGAAATCTAACCTATTTTTCTAGTCATTTCATGTTACTTTCCTATACTCACTTTCTTTCTTTTCTTATTTTCTTTTTAATTTGTGGAATAAAACAAGTATTTCCATAATGTAGTATAATAAAAAGATGATTGTATATGAAACTCCAAATCTACAATGCACAACTTGCTATTCCTTTCAAATATACAATAAAATTATCATGGAGATTTCTTTTTTTCTCTTCTGTTACCCTTCCCTTCCACCTTAGAGACGGCTACCATTAGACACAAATAGGTATATATATATGTGTATATATATATATGTAAAATTATTCTGTATATACTTCTATTTATCAGTTCTTTCTCTGGAGGTAGATGTCTTTCTTCATATGTTCTTTATAGTTAATTTGGGTATTTATAATAGACAAAATAACATTCTTTCAAAGTCATTCTTAAAAAAATATTGGTATTGCTGTGTACAATGTTTGTTTGGTTCTGCTCATTTCACTTTTCATTATTTAGTGCAAATCTTTCCATGATTTTTAAAAAAATCATTGAACTCATCATTTCTTTTTTTAATTCTCTTGATAAATTTATTTATTTATTTTTAGTTTTCAATATTCACCTCCACAAGATTTTGAGTTCCAAATTTTCTCCCCATCTCTCCTCTTCTCCCACTCTGCAACAGCATGTAAATTGGTATAAGCTCAACATACACATTCACATTAAACCTATTTTCACATTAGTCATATTGTAAAGAAGAATTAGAACTAATGG